GCAGCGGTCAGTACGGTGATTGGTTGTTCAGAGCAGGCGTTCTCGGTGAAACTCATCCGCAACATCCCACAAACGAGCCCACTAAAACAAGGAAATAGCCTAGGCTAGAAATGTATTCCTATCAAATAGTTATGGACAGTGNGGATAAATAACATAGGCGTTTAGTTTATTTAATAAAAGAGCACATGTTCAATGTGAACGTGACCGTCGATAGATTACTTCAGTTGCAATTTGGTACTATTATAGTACCAAATTGCAACTGAAGTAATCTATCGACGGTCACGTTCACATTGAACATGTGCTCTTTTATTAAATAAACTAAACGCCTATGTTATTTATCCAATGTGCATGTTTCAGTGTCCACTGCCTTGCGTATTCACATTCTCCCTCCGCTCTGTTTCTGAAGGGCGTGAAACCCTTCCAAACTACATTCCAGGGAATTTAAAACTTGAGAGAATGCCACTAATTGCATGTTGTGATGATGACACGCTTTCCATGTGGGTGACTGATGTATGTGTGAGAGCCTCTGCTGAATTACAAAAGGATAACACATGCTCCAGTGCAGGAAAAGATTGGAACAAGGCCCATGCCATGCTGGACCTTCACAACCAGCATGGAAGAATCCCAAAACTGCAGCACAGGTTTCACCAAGGCCGGATTAGTACCTCCAGGGGCCCCTGGGCACTGAGCTGATGGGCCCCCTAACACCGCCCAAAGAAATAAATGTGTGCGCAAGTGACACCACGTAATAAGTCTGCACAATTGAATAATTGTGTGTGAATCTTACAGTAAATGCTGCACACAGCTGCTTTATAGTATAACAAGCTCCTTCACTGACCACTTCATTAATTCCCTCCCGCTGAACCAGGGGCGTTGCTTTGATCTAGCAACACCGGGGGCATGGCCCAGCTCGACAATTGTACTAGATGTACGAGATGTTGCATCTCAAGGGGTTTATCCCAATAAATAAATGTCTATATATACTTTCAAAAATATATATAATGTATATTAGGGATGTAACGATATACCGAATATCGCTGTATCGCGATAAATAAACGTCCCAATACCGTCGTGAGACGGACAAAATCTACCTCGATATTACATGGTTAATAAAACCTTAACCAGGTGGTCCCATTATGCGCTTTCACACCAGAGTACTTTCCCCCGTACTTTTCCCTTTTAGTTCCGATATTTCCTGGGATTTTGCGTTCATGTGGTGTTATGGCGTGTTATGCATGCCCACCGAGATATGCATGCACCTCCCTCGCGGGAGCAAGCACAGCGTAAAGCAAAAACTCATTTCAAAATAGATATTTTTTTCTTTATTTTTCAATATATCAATAGAGTATCCAAAGAATATACAATATGAAATGTAAATAATGAATTAAAACTCTTAGTAATAGACCAATCTAACACCCAAACAGAAACACATGGAAATAGGTTACTATATAAACAGGTGTGCAAAAGAAGAAAATAAACTATGTTGTAGCAAGGAGATGTTTTCCATCATAAGAATTTATTATATTTCGAGAGCATCATATTTTTAAAATAGGACATGCCGTAACTGTAAGCCCATATCCTCTTATCGACAAAAAAAAAAACGAGGGCCCCCTTTGCCCAGGTTGCCCATATGGTCCGGCCCCACACACCCTTAAAGCTGCTTTCGAAAGCTTTCCTGCACGTGTGTACTGTTGATTTCTAAAAGGCCAGTAGCTTTGTAGCCCAGATAAGGGCGTGAGGGCCCTTAAGAACAACCATATTAAAAAACTAAGGACACATTCCTCAGATAGATGCAACAAGATTTGCTATGGACAGTAGCATATCTTCTTAATTGCACCTTCTTTATCAAAGCAAGTGCATCTTTATACTTGAGTATAGTATTAAGGTAGGACAATTGATAAAGAACTGCCATGCATGCCCCCACCCAGAGACACAGACTGATGTGCCCACCTTATCCAGCAGGTGGCCCACAGACACAAACCACCACAATCACCAGCATGAGATCATCTCTCATATTTTGGTTAAATAACAAATAATTTCTTTATGTTGGACAGAGAATGAAACCAATCAGATTTTTTTTAACTCTATGGGTTGTATTTATTTAATCACAAGGTACATTTACTGGTTTAAAAACTCTCTTTAAGATGTTTGCAAATTATTCAAAGGGCCAGGCCTGCAGCTGTGAATGAATGACATCTAACTTTAAAGGACTTCATAGAGATTCACAATTTAATGCATCTCTACTGCTGCTAAAAAATATCAGGTTTGAGTTTGTTTGTTCAGTGTGGATATGAGCTTGTTATGTACAGGACGTGGATCACAGCATTTCCACCATATCTGATATCTCAATCATCCCACAGCCCAATGGCTTTACTTTTCATCCAACTCCTCCCCTACAGTTTTCTTGCTGCCTTTGCTTTCTCCTCATGAGAAATCACGAGAGGCTTTATATGATGAAGTGAATTTTGTCGCCCCATTTTAACCACAAAATATAATTGTATACAGTATGTCAATGTATTTATTCAATGTACATTGATGTTGTAGTCAGAAGAAGGCAAGGCCAGTTTATTTGTATTGCACATTTCATACACAGAGGCAGCCCAAGCTTATGTTATGAACTGAGACACAGGACGCAGGACTCGAAGACAGTTGTCCAAAAATAGAATGTTCTTTAATAACAAAAACTAAATCGTGTACTTTCAAAAAATAGAAAGCAGTTAAATAGCCAAAGCTACGTTGTACAGCAACACAAAAACTCACTTGGCAAAAGGTCTAAATCTCAAGGTAGGTATCAGGAGTCAAAAAAGGCCCAGGTTCTCACGACATGAAACATAACGAACTGACAAAGGAACAAAGAAACAGCAGGGCTATATATATATAGGTGAGGGGGATGGGCACAGGTGAAAACAATCAGGGCAGGGCCAAGCAATCTCAAGGGTGGGAAACACACAAAGGCAGGAAATGTGGGATCTGGGATGAGAGGAAAGATTACTTTCAAAATAAAAACAGGAAGTGACAAGATCAAAACACAAAACTAGAGTAAAAACATAACTAAACCTAACATATCTGTCGAGTCACAACAGCTTTCTGTTTTTATGGTCCCAAACTGTGGAACAGATCCATTGGATCTTAGAACAGCAAACTCCATTGGAGTTTTTAAAAGTATATTGAAGACCTATCTTTTGAATTAGCCTATTCATTTGGGGTCATTTTAGTTGTATCACTGTTCATTTTTTTATTGTTTTATGTTTCTGTGATATAACTCTTTCTGTTTGTTTATAATTATGTTTTTAAATACATTTCCTAACTCTTTTATATTATTTGTATCTAGTCTTACTTTGTAAAGTACATCGGGCTACATCTTGTATTAAAGTTGCAAAAATAAATAGTTTTATTATTATTATTATTTTTCCCGCAATATTTTCTTTAATTTCTTCTCCCAAATTTTAAATCTAGTGCATTTCTTATTTTTGTATATATTTTTTTTGTATGACTTATTATGACATATGACCTAGGCGTAAGGAACGTATGGAAATGTATTATGTATGTAGGTTTATTTAATTTTAAAACAAAGAAGTATACAGTTAATTCAAATGTGAGTTATGACCACAGGTTTTAAAACCAGTAAGTAGTGAGGACAATTTTTTTGTGTGATCCCATTACATTTTCTATGGAGGCTCGGAGCGGCCATAATCATAACCTTTTTTATATTTTGTGAGATTGCGAGATTGAACCCCAGCAATCCACAGTAAATCCAGTGTGTAAACCTAAACTAGAATAGCATAATTTGTTTTCCAAAAACCTAAATAATGTCGAACACCTGTATCCAACCATGGCTGCTTTCCGCTTTCGTAGAAAAAAGAGCAATCTTTAACTGTAATTTCTTGACTATGAAACTTCACAGTGCGCAACATCAGCTGCTATTATATGTACTTATATCCTTTCATTTAGTGTGCCTGTTGTTTACCTGCAATATTAGATCCTTTATTAAAACGTATTCAACAAACTGTCTGAATCCCTGCTTGGGGACAAAGCCTAGAGACCATCCTAAATATGGAGTCAGATTTGGGTCAATATTCTAGCGCGCAAAACAAGCTACTCACGGGCGGAAAATGTGCTTTTACACGCGCATGAAATGACCCTCGCGTGCAGATTAAACCCCCGCGAGTGGCTATGCGCTCGCTCGCTCGAGAGAGACAGCCCTCTTGCTCGCTCGCGCGAGTGTCAGCCTCACTCGCTCGCGGAGTCTGTCTGCGCGCACGTGAAAAGTTTCTGACACTTTAGGGCGGAACCACTGGACTTTGATTGACAGCTGTCCAGGAAGCCCAGAGTTGCCAGGTTTGATAAATGCCTGAACTACCAAGAGCCGAGGAGTGACAGATCAGTTGGACGACATTGAATGGTAAAGTTGTCCATAAAAAACTATTATATTCGTAAAGTGTACAGCTAATATATACATATATCAATTAATTTGGTATAAAAAAATGACACATTCATTCTATGAGTGTAATACTTTTACAAACACTATAGTAATTAAAGCTGCAAGCAGCGTTGAGCGTAGGCCTGTCGCGATAATCGATACATTGACTTATCGTACGATAAATAAAAATGGACTTGATAACTTTTCTGAGCTCAATAAATTGCCGTTTACATGCGTGTTTGTTTACATAAGGATGTGACC